AGATTGGAAGAATTAATGTTATTAAAATGTCCATACTACTCAAAGCATTGTACAGACTCAGTACAATCCCTATTAAAATTCCAAAGGCAGGGACGCCTGGGTGGCTCAGTCAGTTAAGCGTCTGCCTTCGTCTCGGGTCGTGGTCCCAGGGTCTTGGGATTGAGCCCTGCATCCAGCTCCCTGCTCAGCGGGGAGCCTGCTTCTCCCTCTGTCTGCAGCTCCCCCTTCTTGTGCTCTCTCTCCTTCTGTCTCTGACAAATAAATAAATAAAATCTAAAAAAAAATTCCAAAGGTACTTTCCACAGAAATAGAACAAACAGTACTAAAATTTGTAAGAAACTGCAAGAGAATCCAGATAGCCCCAGCAATCTGAGACAGAACAAAGCTGGAGATATCATGCTCCCTGATTTCAAACGATATTACAAAGCTAAACTAATCAAACCTGTATAGTATTGACATTAAAGCAGACACATAGACCAAGAGAACAGAATAAGGAGTCCAGAGATAAACCCCTGTATATATGGTCAATTATTTTACGACAAAGGAGCCAAGAATATACAATGGGGAAAGAACAGTGTGTTCAATAAATGGTACTGGGAAAACTGGACAGCCACATGCAAAAGGATGAAACTGGACCACCATCTAACACCATACACAAAACTAAATCAAAATGGATTAAAGACTTGAACACAAAACCTGAAACCATAAAACTCCTAGAAGAAAACATAGGTGGTAAACTCCTTGAGATTGGCCTTGGTGATGATTTTTTGGATTTGACACCAAAAGCACAGGTAACAAAAGCTAAAATAAACAAGCAGGACTACATCCAATTAAAGAGCTTCTCCACAGTGAAGGAAATCATCAAAATGAAAAGGCAATCTACTGAAAGGGAAAAGATATTTGCAAATCATATATCTGATAAAGGATTAATATCTAAAGTATATAAGGAACTCATATAACTCAATAACAAAAAACTAAACAATCCAATTAGAAAATGGGCAGAGGATCTGTATAGATATTTTTCCAAAGAAGACATACAGATAGACAATAGGCACATGAAAATATGGTCAACATCACTAGTCATCAGGGAAATGCAAACCAAACCATAATGAGATATCATTTGACCTGTCAGAATGGCTCTTATCAAAAAGACAAGAAATAATAGGTTTTGGCAAGGATGTGGAGAAAAGGGAACCCTCTTACACTGTTGGTAGGAATGTAAATTGGTACAGGTACTAAGGAAAACAGTATGAAGTTCCCTCAAAAAAATAAAAAAATAGAGCTACCACATGACCTAGCAATTCCACTACTTGGGTATCTATCTGAAGAAAACAAAAACACTAATTCAAAAAGATATATGTGCCCCTATGTTAACTGCAGCATTACTTATAATAGCCAAGATATGAAAGCAACCCCGAGTGTCCATTAAAGAAGATAAAGATGTGATATATATATATGTGTGTGTGTGTGTGTGTGATATATATATATATATCTCACACAGTCAATGAAATCTTGCTACTTGCAACAACATGGATGGACCATGAGGGCAAGTAACTTAAACATTAGTAACTCATTTGTAAAATAGAGATAATAATTGTATCTTACAGTGTTTTGTGAGGATTAAATGATTTAATATATATAAATACTTTGCCTAGAACATAGTAAACACCAATAAATCATTTTTTATGATATGTAAAATACAGGGATTCACTTTGGTGTGCTCTCATACAACTCTCTAGCCAACAGTCTTCCCCCATACCTCATGGCTACCCTTCAATTCCAGTCACTCTTGTTCAAGGTCTAAGTCCTAACAATACAGGATTGTTTTGTCTTGATCAATTCCATTCTCTGTTCTCTGTGCTCTTCATGATCTCCCTGGTTCCTGACCCTTTACCTAGTATCCTTTTTACTCGCACCAGAGCTGACCAGAGTCCCCACTATGCCTCCTTGCTGGGCAAGATAACCGGCAGCATATAGTTGTGTACTCACTCAGGTTGATATTCCAACATATTTAGACATCTCCTTAAAGCTTATTCCTGACAAAATTGTTATGCCTAACACATAGCACTGAGTTGATATTTTAGAATAAACTTGATAAAAGGAAACATTTTCTCACTTAAAGGAATTGTGTTAAACATTGTAGAACTGCACATCTGATGTATTTTGCTACATTTGAAAAATATGCAAAGGCATTATATTTTATCACATTACTTTTAAAAGGAGTTTAGTTTAACATGTCTTCATCTCGTTGACCCAATATTTCCTATTTTTAACTTCCAATTTAGCTGCTTCAAAGTTTGTGCCACCCAAATGATTGTCTTTTCATAAGGTTTCTGATATTTGGAGTTCAGGCCAGGGAGGAAAAATTAACGTCAACTTTAACACATAATAAAATAAACTACGATTCCAACTCTGTCTTCTTAAGTGAGACCTTGTGTGTTCCCATCAAGCATCACGAGTATCAGTCCAAAGTAGTATAAAACATCAACTCAGTTCCCCGAGTAGAAGCGCTCATTAGTCTAGAAATACCATTAATTTCTTGAATTGGACAAAAGCAGTTTCCATATTCATCTTTCATACTTTGTCTTGTGCTAGTAAAAATATGAAAATCATTTTACATTTGGCAAAATTTGACTCCTCTCATAATGGGGAATGAATTATCACAAATGGCACTTCTTGATATCTGGGTTATTAGATGACTTTTTTAAATAAAAAAAAGCTATGAAAACATTTCATATATTAATCAAGAAGTATTAAAAATCAGCAAATAGACCATTTTTGCTGATCAGTCACCATTTAAGATCCATAACCTCTTCTCCAAAAAGAACTAGTAAAGAACTACTAAGGCAGTGGTGGGGATGACAATATTAACATTTTTTTTTTTTACATCAAAGGGCTTTATAGTCTATTGTATGTTAATTCTCCATCTTAAAAAACAAAACAAAACAAAACAAAAAACCTCACTCAACCCCAATTCTCCTTTCATCTACCACCTCACTTCTCTTCTATTTTTGGCATCCCAAAATTAGTAGGTCCAAACCCTTTTCTTCCCAACAAATCTGTTCCATCCAACCTCTGTGTCTCAGATAATAGCAACTCTTCTTGCTCAGTCAGCAGATCATTAAAGTCATCCTAGATTCCTCTCTGGTTGTCCACCTTACATATAGGCCATAAAAACATCCTGTTGCCTTGACCTTCAAATTACTTCCCACTTCTCATCATTTCCACCTGGTTCATCTCTCACCTCAATAATTATAGCCTTCAAATTGGTCTTCCTGTTTCAACCTTTGCTTCTCAAAAGTCTAATCTCTACACAGCAATCAGAGCAGTCCCTTTCAAAATGTAACTCAGATCATAACACTTCTCTGCTTGAAGTCTGTCCCTGGTTCTCCACTTTTCTCAGAGTAAAAGCTAATGTTCATACAATGGCTGGCAAGCCCCTTCATGATCTGTTCCCTAGCTCTCATTCACTCTACTGTGCTCAAATGAGCCTTCTCTTTTCTTCTTGACTATGCCAGGTAGGCTCCTGCCTTGGGATATATGTATTCACTTTCCTGCTGTCTGGAATGCTCTTTTCCTCACCAGCACATCATTCACTCCTTCTCTTTCCAGTCCTTATTCAAATGACAGCTTGTCAATGAGGCCTACCCTGACATCCAGTTAATTCACAACTTCTTCCCCAGAACTCCCAATCTCCTTTGCTTACTCTCTTTTTTCTCTTATACTTATCACCATCTAGCTTCTCTGTAATTTACTCAGATACTGTTTATTATTGTCTCCTTCCACTAAAATGTAAGCTCCACGAGGGCAACAATTTTGATCTGGATGGTTCAATAATGTATCTCTAGTACCTAGAACAGTTCATGCTACAGAGTGGGTAATCAGTACATTTTGCCGAAGGATTGGATTCTTATAAGCATCTCTGTTCTTTCTTCAAATTATTTCTCACTCTAATTAAGCTCTTTCAGATTTATAATAAATCTACCATTTAAAAATTTGATTAAAATGTTATTCTTTTCTCCCTCTTTTTGCCAGTAGGAGAGCTGTCCTCAGTGTTACCTGACTCAGTCAAAACTACAGTGCTGCATAAGGGAGAGTAAGAGAATTCTTAATGAGTTCTTTTTTCTTCCCATGCAGCAGAGAATGGGAATTTGGTGGTAAAGCTAAACCACTATCATCTTCCCAGGAAAGACTGTCTCAACAGCTGTTGTCCACACAACTAAACAATAATGGAGGAAAGCCAGTATCATCTTTAAATTCTACTGCCTTTTGTGCTGAATTTTAAAGCAATTCATAGGGGCGCCTGGGTGGCTCAGTCTGTTAAGCATCTGCCCTGGGCTCAGGTCATGATCCCAGGGTCCTAGGATGGGGCTCTGTGTCACTCCCTGCTCAGCGGGGAGTTTGCTTCTCCCTCTCCTCCCCACTCGTGCTCTCTCTATCTCTGTTGCTCTCTCTCTCAAATAAAATCTTTTAAAAAAAAAGCAATTCACAGACTCACATTTGTATGATTCTTCTAATTATTTCAGAAACAAATGTGTTTAGTAATAATAAAGAGTATATGTGTGTGTTATTAATCTATATAAATACCTTAAGTTATCAAACTCCTTTTATTTCTAAAAAAAATCTTATCTCTACTAAGGAAAGTTGAAATAACATGTAAAGCAAATCATGTACCTACTTTTTATACATTGCCATCTTTTTTTCTCAGGAATCACAAAATATCAAAATTATCTTTGGAATACTAATTAAAAATAGATGGCATTATATAATATAAACATAGAAGAGGCATAACAGTGCACTACTCTGTAAAATAATGTCTACAAGGAAAGCTAAATGGAAAAAATAAATAACATTGTTGTGATTAAGATTCATTTGTCATCAGATGATAACAAAATTGTATTTGACATTTATCATTAATGCCCAGTCAATTATGGATAACATTCACAATCTTAATTGAAACTTTTACTGTTGAATACACTGTTTTATAAAAGAGAACTCACTTGAGATTATATGTATCATATTCAATGGAAGACCTTGGCACTGCAGGGATCATATAAAGAAATCCAAGATGTTCATTTTCACGTATTATTTTAATGATTTGCAAGGGATTACGAATGTTGGCTTTAATGACTTCTTCCCGGTCATGGAATGTGTATTTAGGGTACGCTGAGGAGCTAGTCCCATAGAGACCTCTTCTTCCAATACCGGTACGTGACAGTTTAGGAGAGGGAGCGAACATCTCAGTAGAGGGCCGGTGGATCTAAACAAAGCCAATTTTTAAAAATATGAGTTTTTGCAAAAAACAAAGTATAAAAAAATGACAAAGTATTAACCTCAAGCACTAGCTACCATACTGCTTGAGATGTCCGGGTTCAAAGGCAAACATTTTTGAACAGAAACATTCAAATTATTATAAGGCAGGGGTATATTCCTTCCCAGTTCTCCTTATCCAGGGGTCCATCCCCTTTCCCAACCCCCCCAGTATTGCTCCCATTGTCACCCTCTCTCCTTTAACTCTGTGTTTATTACATCAAAATACTACCAGCTCTCCGGGGTTCTCGGGAGCCCAGCACTCTTGCTGCTCAGTTGCTTTGCATCTATCTTGACTGTGGCCTCTCCCCTCAAACCCCTGACCTAGTTCTGAGGACCTTAATGCTTTTCAGTGAGTGACATCTTAAACAGCTGTTATCATAGCTCATAATAAACTTCTTTTTAGTGAAGGTAAGGGGTGGTTACATTGAGTATCGGGGATCATTATATAATAATAGCCTTGGAGAAGCATTCATGCTACAAACTCATGATTGCCTGTTCTGTAGACCAGTGCTTCTCACATTTAAATGTGCAAGTGAATTACCTAGGTGTCCTGTTAAAATGCAGATTCTGTCTGTCAGTCTGGGGTGGAGCCTGAGATCCCTCATTTCTAACCTGCGAGCAGGAGCTGCAGATGCTGTGGACCGCCACTGGAGCACCAAAGCTAAGTTCCTGCCATGTTCACACACTTGAACTTTGCTCTAATCCCCCAGTTCCACTGTCTGTGTTCTCAGTGCCATTCACACTCCTTTGTTCCTCCTCAGCAAACTCTGGGGCAGCATCATACACACCCCCTCCTCCTGAGGAGGAGGTTGATAACCATGTTTCAGGAAATTTGACACTAACTCCCAACAGTCATCATCTGGTCTCACCAGTAGAAGGGCAACTGGCATTAAGACAAAAGAATCACTATCGCAGACCTGCTTTGTTGAATAACTGATGTAAATATATGAACGATATCTTTATTGCCTGTTAGCATAACTAACAGAGGCTGCCATTTTCTTTCTTTCTTTCTTTCTTTCTTTCTTTCTTTCTTTCTTTCTTTTCTTTCTTTCTTTCTTTCTTTCTTTCTCTCTTTCTCTCTTTCTCTCTTTCTCTCTTTCTCTCTTTCTCTCTTTCTTTCTTTCTTTCTTTCTTTGACAAAGAGAATAAGAGAGCACAAGTAGGGGGAGCGGCAGAGGGAGAGGGAGAAGCAGGCTCCCCGCTGAGGACTTGATCCAAGGGGCTTGATCCAAGGACCCCAGATCATGACCTGAGCCGAAGGCAGACACTTAACCAACTGAGCCACCCACGTGCCCTGGGGTTGCCATTTCCACGAGAGACTGATTACCACAAGCTCTATGGAACAATGTCCCCAGGAAATTTGTATTCACAGATCCCATCATTCTCCATCTCTCATTAAATATACCCTGGTGAACAGGAGTTTCAGACAAAAATCCTAGAAAGTTTAGAGCCAGAGAAAATACATCTTTGAACTCAAAAGATACAATGTGCTTTTTTTACTTAATGGCCAGGGACAGCAGCAGCAACACTGTTTTCTTATGTAAAAGAATAGGCCAAGCCAGATACCCCTAAGCCAGAGAAAATACACATTGTCTTGTCCCAATGTTTCAACAAGGGCTGTAGTCAACAGTCCCTTAATATTTTTATGGGACTAGAGTATTAATATTTTAACAGAAAATGCATGTATTTTCTTTATTATATCCTTCAAAAAGTTTTACTGCCTTCTAAGTGCAAGATTTCTTCAACAATAGGCCTATATATTTTCATCTGAATACTTATTTCCAGTTATGTAACTCAGTGCAAAGATGTGTTTCAATTTAAGCAGCCACATAAGTTCAGATTTTGTGGGGGTGGTGGAAAAAGAACAAAGGAAGTATGTATGTATGTATTTAAAGATTTTTTTTATTTATTTGAGAGAGACAGTGTGTGCGCTCGAGCAGGTGCACAAGTGGGGGGCGGGGCAGAGGGAGAGGGAGAAGCAGGTTCCCCGCTGAGCAGGGAGCCCAAAGCGAGGCTCGATCCCAGGACCTTGAGATCATGACCTGAGCCGAAGGCAGAGCTTAACCGACTGAGCCACCCAGGCGCCCCAGGAAGCATTTATTTATAAAGTATAGAACACCTGTAGTGTTCTCTATGATGGATGTCCAGTCCAATTTGTTAAGTCAATCTTCCTTAATTACCAGAAGCAATGCCTCCAACTGCCTTCTTTTATCTCCCAGGGCATCCTCATTGGTACATTTCCATTCTAAACTCATTCTGAGAAATCAATATCCCCCCAAAATGACCCTCTTCTCAGAATAAACACCCTCCTCCTTTTATATGGAACATCCCCTTTCTTCTACATTTCCCTTTAACCCCTAACTCTTGCTGAATTCTTCACTTAGTTATAGCTATAACCAGGCATAACACACAATTTAACATTCCCTTTTAGCCCCCTCCCTTCATCCCAGATGTGCACAATTTCATTCCTCCCCTTTAAATTCAAGATCATGATGCCCACTTTATACCAAATAAACTAATTTATGGGCAATCAGAACTTTCTTGGTCCTACTTAAGATAGTTTGTTCTCCTTTCCTATTTCACAGAAATGAAATTAACTGAGGCTTTATAATTTCATACAATTGAGCATGTAATATTCTTTGAGGGTGATCTCACCCACACCCACAGTGAGCCTCTTTCCAGCCAGCTTCTCAAACCCACCGCTCTCCCACCTGATTTGCCTTATTAACTTTCCATTCATTCCTCCCAGCCTAGTGCCAGTCCCTACAGTGGCGTTTCCTCCACTGACCCTTCCCCTCACCACCAGGTGCAAGCATTCCCTTCTGTTCAGTTCGCCACAGTTTTGTACCTTAAGTGACCAACGGAGAGCTCTGATTGCACCCCACTGAGTTTGAGACTCACTTGTCCATCTACCCACCATCAAATTCTGCAGTCTTCAAGAATGGAACCTGTCTTCATCTCTTCCTCTCTAGTACTCTAGCCCAAAGCCTGAAAGACACTAGCACTGAAATGTTTAACAGGTCTCGAAGGATCCTCTCAGTAAAAAGCTCAGAGAATTCTCAGCTCTACTGGCATTTTTATTGTGAGTGTGTCCACATTTTCTCCCACTTCTACTTCTCTGTCTAATTATCTACAGGTATTTATAGAAAGCCATACTCTGGTGATTTCTCCCCAGAGCTACTGTTCACGTATTCCTTTCAAGGCAACTTCCCACTCTACAGCTCACCAATTACAGAAGTTGTTTTCCTAGCTGGTTTAGTTTCTATTTTACTGCCCTTCACCAAGGTCTTGAAAGACTGTCATTCTGGGTAATAATGATGAAAATTTCATAAAAGGTAAAATAAAATTGAAAACACTATTATGTCTTCTTTTAATATGCAAGAGAAGATCAGAGGGCACTGAATAGATGCTGTAAGTTTTCCTTTATGATTTTCCTCTACTGCCTAAAATTTCCTGGAATAAGAACTGAGAAGTACAGTATTCCCCAAATACATTGTGTAACCTGATAGAGAAAAATTTTGCAACTATTCTTATGAGTTAATAGCATGTTAGCAATGCTATAGGAAACTAAAATTAAAGTGAAAGACTCAATTAAGTATTTTAATAGTATACCTGTTTTTTCTTCACCACATGAACTTGCTGTTCAGGAAACTGAATAGACACTTTGGCAGAACTTTCCTCTCTTCTTGGAGGTTTTATGATTCCAGAAGTGACTAACTGAAGTCGGTTCTGCTCATATATGTATTCTGGCCTCTTATGATCTTGGTAGACTTTTAGCACTGGCTTTGGGGAATAAAAAGACATATTAATCTTTTTAATATTAACATGAATTTGTCTTATTCTTCACTTTGACTCTATTCCTGTTGGAAATTGATCTCCCTGGACTAATTTCCTATCGAAGTCACAATCAGTATGGTAGTTATCATCATGGACTGGCCATGGTCCATCACTAGACTAAGACTTTTCTATTCGGTTTCTATTAATTCTGTCCCTTAATTGCCAGTGCATACTTCTAGGAGTAAGGTTCTGACAGAAAAGGCTCAGAAGCATGAAATCACATATCCAGTAATTGTGCATTACAAACCCCTACCACTCATTACAACAGTTATTGTGGGAAGGACTGTACAATCCTCACACTCTACCTGAAAGTCATTAATCAATTCCCATAGCCATAACTGATTGAAGAGCCAGAAGAAATTGTGGCAAAAATAAATAAATAAACAAACAAACAAACAAACAAATAAATAAATAGAAATTGTGGCATTATATTAGGCTGATCAAATTTCAGATTAAGGCAATAAAATCCAGCATTCAACATGATACACTAATGCAAGGAATTCACCATAATGGCTTTAAGTTTCTAAGCATTATGATTTTAGCATGATAGCTAATCTCTTACAACTGGAGTGAGAAAAAAAAGCTTGGAAATAAGCACAGGAATCAGCTGTTAAGCTTTCAAGTGTGTGTAAATTACATTTGGTTTTGGCTAAAAATCCCTCTTGAGCCACTCACTGAAGAAAGGAAAAACACATAGATGGGGGTGGGAGGATCTCAGCTATATAACAGTGTGGAAAAGGAATACAAACCAGAATCACAAGGTAAGAAGGGGGAGAAAAGCTTCTGCACAGCAAATGAAACCAACAACAAAATGAGAAGGCAATCTACCAAGTGGCAGAAAGTATTTGCAAATCATATAGTGATAGGGGGTTAAGACCCAAAATATATAGAGAACTCATACAACTCAATAGCAAAAACAAAATAATCCAATTAAAAAATGGGCAGAGGATCTGTATAGACATTTTTTCCAAACAAGATGTACAGATGGCCAGCAAGTATATGAAAAAGATGCTCAACATCACTAATCATCAGAGAAATGCAAATCAAAACCATAATGAGATACCACCTTACACCTGTCAGAATGGCTATTATCAAAAAGACAAGTGTTTGTGAGAATGTGGAGAAAGGGGAACCCCCATCAATATTTGATAACACAATTTATATCTTTTTATCTTATGTATTCACAACGAAGTATTGCAGCTGTATTTTTACTACTTTTGTCTTTTAACCTTTAACTAGTTTTATAAATAAATGATTAATCCACCACCTTCACATCAGATTATCCTGAATTTTACTATATATTCACCTTTACCAGTGAGATTTATACTTTCATGTTTTCCTGTTACTAATTAGAGTGCCTTTTCATTTCAGCTTCAAGAAGTCCCTTACAGGGGCGCCTGGGTGGCTCAGTTGGTTAAGTGTCTGTCTTTGGCTCAGGTCATGATCCCAGGGTCCTGGGATTGAGCCCCGCATCGGGCTCCCTGCTCAGTGGGAAGCCTGCTTCTCCCTCTCCCACTTCCCCTGCTTGTGTTCCCTCTCTCGCTGTGTCTCTGTCAAATAAATAAATAAAATCTTTAAGAAAAAAAAAAGTCCCTTACAATTTACTTTTTAATAACAAAGCAACAAGCAAATATGTATATATAGAAAGAGAAAGAAAGCAAATATGGTAAAATACTAACAATTTTTTAATCTAGGTAGATGGTATATAAGTATTCATTTTACTATTATATCAACTTTTCTGTATATTTGAAACTCTTTATAGTAAAATGTTGGGAGAAATTGATTTTTTCAAATAAACTGGCAAAAATACAAAAAATTAGATAGATTCATATAAACCATAATAGTGATCATCTCCAAGCAAGGAGAGAGGGCACTGAGACTAAAATGGGGTACAAAAGGTATCTGAAATGTATTTGTAACATTCCTTTAAAAGTAGATATTAGGGCACCTGGGTGGCTCAGTTGGTTAAGCGACTGCCTTCGGCTCAGGTCATGATCCTGGAATCCCTGGATTGAGTCCCGCATCGGGCTCCCTGCTCAGCAGGGAGCCTGCTTCTGCCTCTGACCCTCCCCCCTCTCATGTGCGCTCTCTCTCTCATTCTCTCTGTCTCAAATAAATTAAAAAAAAAAGATATTAAATCAAACTAAGCAAAATTCAATATTATTAACTTGGGATACATATACTTGTCTACTATACTTCTCTTTATATCTTTTTGTATATTTGAAATTTTCATAATAATAGAAACAGAGGATAACTTCTTAATATAACTATTTAGCAAAATCAGCAGCAAACCTCAATCACCCTAAATAGTAAAAACCTAAAGCCATTATGAAAATCAAGAACAAGATCGCTATTTTCACTACCAACTTCATTTTTCAATTCTCAAATGGAAGCATCTAGAACAGGGGTCAGTAAACTTTTTCTGTAAAGGATCAGACAGTAAATATGTTAGGTTTTGTGGGCCAGATGGTCTCTGTCAGAACTACTCTACCATTGCAGCACCAAAGCAGCCTTAGACGATACGAAAATAAATGGATATCACTGTGATCCAATAAAACATTATTTACAAAAACAGGTTATAGGACTGGACTTGACCCATGGGCCACAGTGACTCCTACTCTAAAAAATAAAGTAACTGGTGTAAACACTAGGAAAGAAAGGCAAAATTATCTATCAATGATATTTATTATGTACATTAAAAATAAAAGCCTAACTACTGAAGTAACTATAAGGATTTAAAAGAATATTGCTGAGGTTTCTGGTTACAAAGTAAACAGACAAAATCCATTTGCTTTTCTCTGTATTAAAAATAAACAGAAACTGGATCACAATAAAAAACTGAGGTTGAAATATTTAAGAATTTAACAAGAAAAACACAGGACCTTATTATAGCAAACTATAAAATCTCACAGAGAATGAAAAACAAAACCTGCAAAAGTATAAGGAAATGCCAAATGCTAATTGTGGGAAAAATTACATGCTCATCTCCATATATGTCAAAAAGGCATTTGATAAAATTAAACTATTTTTGATAAAAATCTATTTGATTTTGTTAAAGCTTGTTTGTTTGTTTGTTTATGTAATCTCCACACCCAACGCAGAGCTTGAACTAACGAGCCCTAGATCAAGAGTCGCAAGCTCTTCTGACTGAGCCAGCTAGGTGCCCCTATTTATGATTTTTTAAATAAAATCTATTTTTGATAAAAACATTAATCAAGAAAGGATAGATACTTCCTTAAAAATCTCAATGGTTAATATCATGCTTAAAGGGGGAACACTTAGAAATATTCCTACTAATCGCAGGAGAAAGACAAAAAATGTCTACTGTCCTCACTGTCATTTCTTTTTTTTTGTTTTGTTTTTTTTTGTTTTTTGTTTTTTTGTTTTGCCTTTTCTCACTGTCATTTCTAATATTCTACAGGTATTAGCCAATGCAATAGTCCAAAGACACAGTATGAATATAAAACTCGGAAAGAAGGTAGCAAAAGTGTCATTATTATCAGATGATTTTATTGTTTGCCTGAAGCACCTGAGAGAATAAACAGAACACCTAGCACAAAATTAGCATCCAGAAATAAAACCTGTTCATAAGCTTAATAAGAAATAAGTAAAAGTCATATGAAGAAGACTTTAAAACACTCATGATGGTCATGGAAGAAAAAGCAAACAAATAAAATTCTATTTTGTTCTTGACTTGGAAAATTAATTATAATAAAAGTCAATTTTAAGTTAATCTATAAATTTAACATGATCCTGACAGGATGTCTTGGAGATTAGACAATCTGACCCTAAATTTAATACATAAAAATTATTAAAAAGAATAGCCACAAAAGTTCTGGGGGGAAAAAAGAGTGATCAATGAAGACCAGCCCTGCCAGATATTAAAATGTTATAAAACTACAATAATTAAAACTGTGTATTCTGGACACATGAATAGGAAAGCAGATCAATGAATCAGAATAGAAAGTCCAGTAATGGATCCCAAAATCTAAAAGGGAACTGAGCCTACAATAAAGGTGATAATTTTAGGAAAATAATATTATTCAATAAATGATAATGAAATAACTGGGTAGTTGTTAGGAAAAAAGTTGGATCCTCTCATTCATTACAATGGGAAAAATTATGACTAGATCAAAGATTTAAATGTAAAATAACAAAAATAATAAAAATAATCTTAAAGTAATTTTTAAAGAAATGTATCCATGACATCACTAGATAATTTTATCTCTACAATCTTGCTAAATGTAGGGCCTAAGTATTCCATAAAACTCAGAAGACATAAATTACTTAACTGCATAAAAATTAGGAATTAAAACAAAACTTGAAACTTTTATCATGCTTATCACAGATAAAGGGCTTATTTCCTAATATATGAAGAGCTCATGCAAATCAATAAGAAAACTACCAACTACCCAATTAGAAAGTAAGACATGAGATTCATACAGTTCACAGATAGAAAAACAATAACTCCTGAACATATGAAAAGATGTTCAACCTTATTCAAAAAAGAAATTTAAATTAAAACTACTCTGAGATAGCATTTTTCTTCTATTACTGAAGCAACATTTACTAACCAAAATTACAAATGAACATATGTTTTGAGTTGGCAATTCCATCTCTAGGAAGTCTGCCTACAGATAGCAGCTCACATGTATAAGATATGTCCAAGATTATTCACTGTAACACTGTTGTCATAAAAATACTATTTTAAAAACCTAACCTATAAAGTTGGGGCTTGCTAAATAAATTATGGCACATTCATCTGTGATAGGATATTATGAGCTATAAAGAAAATTGATATAAAAAAACTTCTTGAACTGACATAAAATGATCTCCAAGCTACGTATTAAATGAAGAAAGCAAAGGGCAGGAAAGTTTGTTTAGTACGGTAGTTTTAGGCTTATAAAATTGTAATACATCTCTGAAAGCATACACAGCACTCTTATCGTTGGACTGGTTGCCTCTAGAGAAGGAAGCTGGATGGATGAGGGACGGTGGGAGGAAATAGACTTTAACTGTGCAACTTCTGTACATTTTAAAATGAATTACTTAACTAAGAAGGACAAATGTTAAAGTTTATGTGGAAGGATAACTATCTAAAACAGAGGATATATAAAAAATAAGAATAGTGAGGAAGCAGTTGTCTTCTACTTATCAAAACAAAGCTACAAAGCCAATGTCACCAAAACAATGTGGTTAGATCAGTAGAGAAAAGAATCAAGAATCTGTAATAAGGTCTCACCATATATGAGAATTTTATACATGATAAAGGTGGTGTTTTAATTTAGGGGTGAAAAACATGGTGCTAGCAAAACATTTTGAAGAAAATGTAGTCCCTTTCCTCACATCAGATCTAAAAGTTCACATGAACGAAAGCTTTAAATGTAAAGTACGAAAATAAAGAAGAGTAAAATGGAAGAAAATGTGGGGAAATGCTGTCAACAGAATGAGTATAAAATGGTGGTCAACGGAGAGAAGACAAAAGTCCAATACAAAGAGAACGCTGCAATCTGGTAAGAACAGGATCCATTACCACTAATCACATGGGAGATGATTAGCAGCAGCCTGTGTGAGCATGCAGTTTCAGCCTTCCCAATCAGGCAGTAAAAGGCTGGAAGATATTACAGGAAGACCTAGGAAAGGGTGAAAGTGAAATTTAATTTAGGCAACACATAGGCACTGGTTTGAGAAACTGGTCCCCAAGTAAAATGTGTCTGAATCAAATAAAATTACATAGATATATTTTTTTTCTCTCCAACCCAACAATACCAATCATGGAACTCTATCCCACAAGAATATAAGCACCAGTCAGGATGGATAATACAATGATTTTGCTGCACCACTGTAAATATTTGTAAAACAAATGTGCCAGAAGAGAATGATTTAATAAATTATGGAATATTTGTGCAATGCGATACCTTAATGGGATAGGCAACCATTAAAAAAAATGTTACAGAAATATCATCTGAAGGACCTCTGGGTGGCTCAGTCAGTTAGGCCTCTGATTCTTGATTTCCGCTCAGGTCATGATCTCAGGGTCATGAGATTGAGCCTGGTGTCAGGTTCCAGGGTGGGTGTGGTGGGCTGGGTATGGAGCCTGCTTGGGATTCTCTCTCTCCCTGTCTCTCTCCAGCCTATCGCTCCCCCCCCCAAAACACACACTCACACTCTCTCTCTCTCTCTAAAAAAAGAAAGAAAGAAATATCATCTGACCTTGAGGAAGTCCTATAATGTATATTTAGATGTAAAAAGCAACATGTAGAGTACTATATTTATATTTATAATATGTTTTAAGACAAATGTCCATAAGTCTAAATATGTATTTCGTGTGTGTTTATCCATTTGTATAAAACTGAGTGTGGAGAAAGGCAAGAAGGGATATACACTAGATTGTTGTTGACCTTAGATACCATAGACAAGGGGCTCGGAGATGGGAGAATGTGAAGGAAAAAATGTAAAAGAAAAAGAACAGAAGAGGGAAAGGGGGTGGGAGGGAGGAAGGGAAAGAAAGGAGGAATAAGGGGGGAGGGGTAGGAAGAGGAAAATGAAGGGGATGGAAAGAGAGAAGGGGTAGCAATCACAAAAAGAACATACCGTAGTATTAATACTATATAAACAAATCAAACTACAGATACCCATACACGTGAAATCAGTCACTTGAATACAAAGCTACTTTCTCTCTGCATGATGGAAATTCAGGTAGTTTTCACTTTATTCCTTACTATTTTTAATACTGTATGAACTACCATATTCATGGATTAGTTATATTGCTCTAGTCATCTTTTCATACCTAACAACAGCCCCAAACCTAGTGGCTTAAAAAACACTTCCACTACAATTTAGGCAGAACTCAGTGGGGACAGCTTGCCTCTGCTCTATTAAGGCATCAGCTGAGACAGCTCAAAGGCTGGGGACTGGAATCAGCCGATGGCTTGTCCATTCACATGTGTGGCAGGTGATATGGGCTATAGTCTGGGACTTGTTCAGATGACATCTCCTTAAGGAGACCTTTGTAGTCACACAAGCTAATGTAGTCTGCCATCTGTTTCCAACACATTCCCTGTATTATTTTCTTAATAACACCTATCATTACATGACATTGTTCAGTCTATTTATTTAGGGTTACTAGAATGTCAACAGGAATCTTGTCTGCTTTGTTCACTGCTATATTCCCAGAGCACGGTCCAAAGCCTGGTGCATAGTGGGGACATGATAAACATTCAATATATACAATTAATTGCACTGAAGACAAACAGAACAAATTTAATCATAAAGGGGTTACACTTTTGCCAAGTGAAGGTAAATATGTTACAGAGAAATAAATGTAAAAGCTTTCATACTAAGTCCATGGGAGAAAAATGGTAGGTAGGCCCTGATGCCCCACACATGCAGTAGAGGCACAGGGAATGAACTCCCTAGAAGAGACAGCAGGGGTCAGTGCCATAAAGCAACCTAAAAATAAAAACAACAGATCAGAACTATGGATGCTCAAGATTGTTTTCCTTCAAAATGAATAAGTACTGAAGTTTGAAAAACAATGGGATAAGGGTTAATACTCATAATATATATATATATTTAAAACTCATAAACTGATAGGGAAAAAGGTTAACAATCTGATTTTTTAAAGTTTTTAAGCAATCTCTACACCCAACGCAGGCCTGAACTCCCAACCCCGAGATCAAGAGTGGCATGCTCCACCCACTGAGCCAGCCAGGTGCCCCAACAATCTAATGTTAAAGTGGGCAAAGGTTATGAACAGAATCCACAATACAGTAATATGCCAATGAATGAATGAAAATACACTTCACTAATAAGATGCAAATTGCAACAATGTGATGCCATTTTAACCTGTCAGTCTAGCAAAAAGAAAAGAACTGAGGGTCAGGTTTGGCGAAGATGTGGGCAAATGGGCCCTCTTCTACATTATAGGTAGAAACTGGTTAAACCTCAACAGCAATTGAGCAATATTTTCAAAATTAGAAGTGTACCGAAGTCTATGACCTATAAAATGACACTTCCAGGAATCCATCTTTATATGTACAAAAGCAAGCCCATCCCATGCAGCATTATCTGTAATCACAAAATAAAAACAGTAACAAAACAAATAGCAAATAAGCTGAATTCCCATCAATAGGACACCAGTTAATAGGTTACCCATGCAACAAAATACGGTGGTGCTGTTAGAAAAGGTAGCTTGTTAAGCTGGGATTGGAAAAACTTCTGTATGTTTATTTCACTTTGAAAATCAGTATGTATTCCATAATCTTATTTTAAAGTTATATATGTTTATACACACACACTTGAATAAACATATAAACAGCCTAAAGGGCAACTGCTAACAGCAGTAAGTAATGTCCCAGGGTGGGAGTGATAACCTTCACTTTTTACTTTATGCATGTTCACTGCTCCTTTCCATGGATTTAGAATTATCCAAGGGCACAAATGGATTCTTAAAATTAAGTATTTTCAGACATGCACAAAAATTTTTAGGATACTAGGCATTTACTTTGAAAGTAATAAATTGAAATAACTATATGTATGTAACATACATATTACTCTTCTTGAAGGTACAAGTATTAAATGGTACCCTAATATCTTAAAGAGCCTTACAACTTACATAATTAAGTATATATATTGTACATAATCCTAAAGAGGATTTATCTGCTAGAAAACTTTGTTCACAACTGTATCCCCCCCATCTTGAACAGTGCCTAAAACTCAGTATTTTTTTTTAAATAAATGTTCCCAGTGTTTACAGCTTCACAAACAAGTCTTAACTTCTAGGCTTTCATTCCTTCTTTGTTAATTAAGAGTCTGGAAATGACCATCCCCCATAGGAATTTTTCAAGCTCCTGTCTAGCCAAAATTGGCTAAATGCTGGATTTTGAACTTACCAGAGGCTCTAGTTTTATAGGCTGCTGTCGTTTTCTTGTTCTCTCTTGAGCTTTTGTAGTGTGCCTGAATGTCAGGAACTGTGTGTCAGATTCATTTTCGGTGGGTACTACAAAACTCAGTCTTCCCTTTGCTGTTATACTGTTCAGTCTTGCAAGGGCAGGGTTTTCCACCTGCTCTTCAATATTTTTCAGTTTGACATCCTTCTCTGAGGTGTGAAAAGCCATTCTCACTCCTGGAAAGAGGAGGGTCAGCAAAAGAAAAATGAAAAGTAGAGCAAAAGAACTGGGGAAGTGGGACCAGTGTAAGGGATTTAAGAACTAGGGAGTGCTGAATTTGCTCAGCCCTAAGGAAAACCCACAAAGTTACTCATTTCTTCCAGACTAAGGACCTGAATCAGAGAAGTGAAAATGCCTGGCCTTCAAGTAGCTGGGGTGGGATCCAGGAATTTGCATTTCTAACAAGTTCTTAGATGCTGCAGATGCCACTGATTTGGGGACCATACTGGTCTAGATTTGGAAGGATAAAAAGAATTGCAATTAGTATTGAGATCAATGTTTTTCATGCGTGAGTATGCAAAATATCTCCAGGGGAGCTTGTTCAAAACACAGGTAATTTTAATGCAGGCAATCTGAGAAATACAGCCTAGGTACTCCAAAACCAAAAACCGAAACAAGAAACAATCAAAGGGAAAAATAGGAGTTGAGGACCAAATCCTAAAACACTGCTCCTGGAGCTTTCATACGCATGAGGAAATTGTTAAAATGCACACTCTGATTCATAACACTAGAACTACGAGCCTCTAGCAGTGGTCTTGCATCCTCACCACCACTCCCACTCCCACCCCTCCAGATGGGTGGAGATACTTCCCTTCAAAATAGTACCATAGCACATACGGTCTTGAAACAGGTGTCAGCAGGCCTAGGTTTTAGTCTAGATCTGTGTTGACCCATCAGAATCTCCTATGCAATTTTAATTTTTCAAGTAGCCATATTAAAAAACCCAAAAAAGGAACAGGTGAAATAAATTTTTAATAATGTGCTTTATTTAATGTATCTAAAATATTCTCATTTCAACATGTAATCAATACAAAACTTATTAATGTTTTATTTCATTGTTACTACATTTTCGACTTCACATTTAGAGCAGATCTCAAGTCAGACTCGCCGCTAGTGGCTACCATATTGAGTAGCGCAGCCTAGATCTGATCACTCCGTGAGAGATCTTGGACCAGTCTCCTGATACCTCCATTCCTCACTTTCCACCCCTCTAAAATGATAGGTAGCTAGTAAATGGCCACTGAATGCTCTTCCACTGACTTTCTCTGCTTCTCTGAGCCTTATCCTCACGTGCTCCGAAAGCCAAGCTGACTCCCTGGCCTAGAAGTCGGAGCCCAGCCCCACATATTCCGCAGGACTCACCAAGTCAGCCTAGGGCAGCCACAGCCGCCGCTGTCGAGGGGCTCCAGAGACAGCAACACCAGGTCTGGTAGTAGAAAGTCGACTGTAGTCCGGAATGTTTGCTGTTGCCTAGCAACCACCCGTCCTCTACAGACGTGCAATGCGCCTGTGCGCGACCTGTCGCTACGGCAACGCCTCAGCCAACCGCAGCTCTGAGTCCCTGAGCCCGCCGGCCAATTGAACCAATCAATGCCTCCGAAACATTTCTATGCCGCTGGTTGGTGGAGAACACCCACTCGACCTGCGTGGTCGCTCCTCGGCGCTGACAACTGGCTACTGCTTAGGCCGGTAGGCAAGGCGGTTGAAGGAGGTGGCCAGGTGTGTTTACTCCCTCCCTTCTCCTGTGGTAATCTTTTCTGTTTCCCTTCATAAGGCCTGAGACTGACTTGATGGTTCCTGTAATCTAACTTTCTCTAGTTAGAAGAGTCAAAAATCTCGGGAGAGGTAGGTGCCTTGTATAGAGTCCCGCTCTCGAAAGGAGCTGGGGAGCGACCATCCAGCATCTCTGTCCCACCCACCAGCCTCCTCCCGGGAGTAAGGAGGGAATGTGGGCTGTTCTTCCCCTCAAACTACACCGTGTCCTTTCAACTAATGTTCTTTTCCACCTGGAAGGTAACCTAGTGTCAGGCACAGCATGAGCCCATATTACTTGGTCCCGCGCTCTACTTACCAAAGCGGACTCTGGATCTTGTTCTGGCATTTTGGCCCACCTAATTAAGTCTCCGAACGATTGCTGCTAATACTTTGTGGAAGCGACCCCACCGAAGCCCGATCCAGGTTGCTTACTGAAGATGTCATCCCAGTTAATGATCAGGAGAAGCAGCCCTTTCACCTGCCTGAAGGAAATGTTAACACCAAATGGCAGAGTCCTGGTTTTCAACCTCCCCTCCAAAATGACATAATCACCGCTGGAACTCATCGTCTTCTTTTGTGCTTTTTGGTCCCTCTTTTTTTTTTTTAACCTTGATATTTGTTTCTTGCCTTGAATGCCAAACCCTATATGAAGTGCTTGACCTATCATACAACCTGCATTTTCTCAATCTTAACATATTCAGGTAGGTATTTTACATGCTAGATAGGACACCACCTACAGGGTAGAGAATCACCTATCAATAGAGCTGGGATGGAGATTACAGATCACCTAATACAGCTCCTCCATTTGATTAATAAGAGAACTGAGACCCAGAGAGGAAGCAAGTGATTTACTCCAGGTTAGGCAGCTACTCAGGGCAGATACAGAACTTAGAATACAGATCTCCTAATCCCTAATCAGATACTGGATACAGCAAGGGAGTAACTTCAGTTCAGAAACAATTCAAAAACACCTCAAATGTAGACATAAAAATACGAATTCACCAGAGATAAAAGGTCCACACAAAGCCAGTTGGAGCCAATAAAATATAATAATTTATATAAACTAGTAATTAAAGAAATTTGAAGCCAACCCAATACATCAAAACATAAAATTAGAATAATATGCAGTGTTAGACATATTTATAAAATGAATTTCATTTCACATGTGCAGTGAATATTCTAATCTGTTTCCTTAAACATTGACATAGTAGAGACAAAGGCCATTGCTTCTCAGCCCCAGATTTTGTTGTTGTTGTTTTTTTTTGTTGATGAAGTTGAATGTTACCTTATGCTGCTGAGAACACTCCAAGAGTCAAGGAAAGTGAGGGGTAGAAGACCTTGACACATAGAGTTTAGTAAGGGTATTGCTATATTAGAAGCTACTCATCAAATCTCTCCAAGCTTATTTTTTAATGTGGCAAGATATCATCTCTATTATCAACTTAATAGTTTCTAAATTAGTGCAGACAGACAAGAGTTTTATGTATACCCTGTTGATTTTTTTTCACAGTTACTATAGATAATAATAATTGTTACAGTTTACTGGGTGCTTTCTATGTGCCAGGTACTTTGCATTTGTTCTTTTTTTTTTTTTTAAAAAGATTTTATTTATTTATTTGACAGAGAGAGACAGCGAGATAGGGAACACAAGCAAGGGGAGTGTGAGAGGGAAGCAGGCTTCCCGCTGAGCAGGGAGCCCGATGTGGGACTCAATCCCAGGACTCTGGGATCATGACCTGAGCTGAAGGCAGACACTTAATGACTGAGCCACCCAGGCTCCCAAAAGGTCACATCTTTAACAGTGAAAGTAAAAATGGTTAAAATTGATTGAGCATTCAGTCAAGATTTATATTCTGAGCCCTTTGTGAAGTAGTTATCACCATTATACTAATCATTGCAACAACTTTATATTATTTTAGAGGTATTATTGTACCTGTTCCACTAATAGGGAAATTGATGTTTAAAAAGATTACATGACTTACCCAAATCACTCCAGAGGTATAAGTGGCAGAGCTGAGAGACAAATTCAGATCCATCAACTTAAATAGTTAAATTTCTGTAAGATTCTAGAGCAAGAATATTGAGTCAGGGAATTCTGCTACTGGCTATATGTGGACTATATTCTGAAAAATTCCTGAAGCAAAACACCCATGTATTTGGATCAACTCCAAGGCACATATTTTAACTGCACTGCAGAGATTACAGAAATTAGGGAACCCTTGAGGGTCGAAAAAACAATGAAATGAAACCAGAAACAGAAAGAAAGCTGCATCACTGAGGACTGTGGTGGTTTAAAGAAATAAAAGTAGAACATGGGTAGCAGGGCTGGCGCTGTGATGGGACCCTGGATCTGGGCAGAGTGTTCTTGTTTATCTCCCCTGCTTTTGAACCACTGCTCACCAAGTCTCTCAAGGAGCAGGATGCCTTTGGCTTTAAAGTCAGGATGTTTTCCACAACCTCATAAAATCACCCAGTATAAAACCAATTTCTCTGAAGTTCTGAACTTGAGCAGACTTCTCATATAAATCAATCATCTGTCTTTTAGAATTTTTAGATCAAACACATGTAAAAGGAGGCAAATGGTAGTGCTTTATACACAGTAACAAGTCTTTTTTGGAATATTTTCTTAATAAGCAGGAAGTTAGGGGCCAGGTAGCTCTGAAAAGGTTAGGCTGGAAGTCTAAGACCAGATGATGACCAGTGATGGTGCCAAAGAAGCAAGGAGGAGAATCCTAATGGTGAGCTGGGCATGGACCTGGTTGGTAAGTCAGCCTACAGATTCAAGAGAGGTGGGAGAAATATCCCAGCTATAGCATCTGGTCTCTGAGAGACATTTAGGGAGTGCAGAATGTAGCATAGAGGATCCAGAAAGTTGTATTATTCATTTGAGGACCTGACTGGTGGTCCTGTGCAAGTTCAGATACAAACATCTACCCTGTATGGAAGATCATTGCTGCACACAGCAAACACAGCCTGGAGTTCACAGTGAGGAAGAGCAGGCCTAGAAAGAGAGAGGCCTTATTATAGGGAGGTGGGGAGAGTTTGAAAGCCAGGGGCCATGTGGCTTTCCAAGGATCATCACTGGGTCTCTGACCCCAATTCTAATGCCATATTCTGCTAGATTGCCCAGATAGACTTATCACCCCTAACAGATCCCTCCTTGCTTATTTTTATCCTAATATTAGATCTCTAGTTATTCAGTAATGCTTTTACTGCTAAATTTTTGTTATGTCTACTCATAAAACTCATAAAAACATATTACTATCCTAATTTTCTGAGCTTATTAAAAACCAACTTGCCAACTTGTTTTTATTGTTCCAAATATTCCCACTTAGCCTGTGATAGAGAATCCTGGGCTTAAAATTCTGGGTTGATAATCCCATTTACAACTAAGTTTCAGAGAGGTAAAGTTACTCTCCCAAGGGCATACAGCCAATAAATTGCCAAGTAAATGGGAATACAGTCACCACAAGACCCAGGCATTCAATTCCTAAGTATTTCCCAAGAGAAATGAAAGACTTGTATGTGAATGTTCCTAGAAGCTTTATTTGTAACAGCCAAAGCCTGGAAAACAATCCAAATGTCCACCAGCAACTGAGTAGATAGGCAAATTTTGGTACATCATACTTTGTAATACTACCCACCAATAGAAAGGGACAAACTGTTGGTGCATGCAACACTGGTTGAATTTGAAAAACATACTGAGCAAAATAAGCCAGACACAAAAGAGTACCTATTGTCTAATTACAATTACATGAATCTCTAGGAAAGATAAATCTAATTTATAGTGACAGGAAATAGATCAGTTGTTGCCCAGAGCTAGGACTGGGGTAGAGGATTGGCAAGGTGGACAGAGAAATTTTTTGAAGTGATGGAAATGTTTTATATCTTGGTTATTTGGGTGGTTACAGAGGTGTATAAGCTTGTCAAAACTCACTGAAATATAAATCTTAGAATATGTGCATTTTATTGTATATAAATTATAACTCAAAAAAATTGAATTAAAAATTATATTCCTAGTGTTACACTTCAAAAGCACAAGTAAGGCTTTCTTTCTTTCTTTCTTTCTTTTTTTTAAGATTTTATTTATTTATTTGAGAGAGAGAGAACGAGAGACAGAGAGCAGGAGAGGGAGGAGGGTCAGAGGGAGGAGAAGCAGGCTCCCC